AACTTTGGCTTAATGTGCAATGTGATTCTTGAAATTTTTCTTTATTCAATATGGTCCCTGAATTTTACCCTTATGTGCAATGTGGTCCATGAATTTTTAATTTGTTCAACGTGATCCATGAACTTTTGGTACATGTTCAATTAGTCCCTAAAATATATGAAAATGTTCAATGTTAAAAATATTGAACATTTTCATATAGACCAGGGACTCAATTGAAAATGTATCCAAAGTCCAGTGACTATACTGAACAATTTAAAAGTCCGGGGACCATATTGCATATTGGGCGAAAGTTCAAAAACCACTTGAACAAATATTCTAATTCTTAAAAATGTTATGAAAAAATCATTTTCGAATCCATTTCTCCCTATAATGCCTACCCTTTTAATTATACTACTCAAATATAGAAGCCCCAAGTGCTTTTGCTAAGGGCAAAGGCACCTTCAATTCCTCCCTGATTATAGCAGTTAGTACTGAGAGACTCTTGGCATTGGCATTTTTACCATGACTCTGAACTTCATTTTCACTTCTCATGTTCATTTAAGAGTGGTGGTGGCAGTTATGATCAGCTCTTTGACTGCATCATTCTGTTCTTCTCTTTCCCTTCGCCTCTCTGCATCATCTGCTGTTCAAAGGTTATGCTTTCAACTGAAACTAACATATCCACAACATTGTCCATTTGATGGTCTTACCTAATGTGTAAGGGCTCCGATAAGTGTATTCTTCTCCATCGCCATCCTCAGCCTGCACCACTATGGCTAACCATACGAGTGTCAGTCCATTTGACACGTACAAAAGCTTTCACTAGAATCGTTAATCTCGAGTATAAAGGAATAGACAGAAGCATCACATGCTACGGGAGGAGAGCGGTTCAAATGCCAAAGATCACGACAATCGTCTTCGAAAAATCTCATCCTCAGCCCCGTTGGAGATTCTGAGACCCATTGGTATCGACGTTACTTCCTTTCTAACTGATAAGAAAAGGAACTAGACTTGGAACTGGAGAAAAGCTGAAATTGCCACTTCTCTCAAGTTCCAATCACGTGCTTCCCCATTCTCAGTGTTATGACCTTTTGATACAGATCAGCTTCAGTGTATCATAAGGTCAATTGCCACATGCTAAAGCTTTAATTCAACCCGAGTACGAAGGAGCGGATAGAAGCACAGCGAGCACGTGTGATGCCTGGGATTCAGATTCCGAAGGTCATGACTCATGTCTTCAAAAAGCATCATCCTCAGCCCCATGGGAGAGTCAGATCCAGTGATGGGTCAGTTCTTTTTCTAACTGTAAGAAGGCACTAGGCTTGAAAACCTAAGGGGAGTCGCTGAAGTGCCCAATACTGTCGACTTTCGAGTTTCATTCGCTTGCTTCCTCATTCTCAGTGTCAGGACCTTATGATGCCCATGGGCATCAGATGAAATTGGTGCATCAGAGGGACCTTCCAAGGGACCGAAAAATGGGCATTAAATCCTTTGCTGGAAGAAGACACGCAATAAATTCAGTACTACTAAGGCACAACAATGATGATGCAGTGAATGGACCATATGTGAGTCGTTCCTGCTTGTATAACAGACTATATTGTGCCCATACGATACACCAGTACCCACCAACCATAAATTTCTCATTTAAAACCCTAACACCACCTTAGCTAACTTTTCGGTCTCTAGTTCTCTTATTGCTCCTCATGCCAACATACCGCCAGTAATGTCATCGTGGCCCATTCTCTGGAAAAAAAAGTGCAAATTTTCGAGAAGATATCTGATTTTTTTGTGTCATATATACGTACATGTAAATGCTATTCGGTTCGTGAACTGGTAAATCCCCATTTAATCTTTCCGGGTTCTATCAAGATCGTACTTGAAAACTACCTCCCACCAGTTGTCTTTCGTTTTCAGCCTCGTGGGGTTGCGTATCTCATTTTAACTCCTTCATTCATCAACTTCTGCGGCTCCGCTAGCATGTCAGCTTCATTTATAAGCATTTTAGAGCAAGAAAGAGTTGCAAACTAAACCCCTTTTTCTCCATTGTCTTTCAAAGAAAAGTTACCCGTGTCATTTTGTCCAGCATGTACATGGCGTTGAAGATTTCGGACCATGCATTCAATACCACAGTAATCACCTCTGCAAAAAGAACAAATCAAAGGACAATCTTTGGGCCTTCTTAGGCCCCCCCTCTCCCCCGTCTCATAATCTCTCTTCTGTTGCCTAGCTCATCTCTCTCTCTCTCTCAATCAATCATTCCAATTAAGCTTTCTAAAAATGTTTTATAGCAATGTTATATAATTCATCATCTCTGATGCACACAAAAACAACCTCCAAGACCTCTGAAATGTCATCCCTCTATTTCTTTGCCTTGGTGATGCTACACGTCGTGACTTGTACATCCTCGGCTCGTTCAGTGATGCGAACATCAGAAATGGTCGAGTGGTAAGTGCCTTCAGCTTGATCTTGGCTGACTCGCTAACATACGGCATGTTCACTTGGAAACAAACTCTAGCCTGTTTTGTTTCCATCATATTCCTAAGTTTTGCTGCTAAATTTGAACATGACCAGGAATACAACTCGGAGGCAGCTCGGGACGGGCTCATGCCGAACGGGGAATCCTATTGACGATTGTTGGAGGTGCGACCCCGACTGGGAATCAAACCGAAAGGTCCTAGCTGACTGTGCCATCGGGTTTGGCCGCAATGCCGTGGGCGGCCGAGACGGGAAAATCTACGTCGTGACCGAATCCTCCGACGATCCCGTGAACCCGCCGCCAGGCACCCTGAGGTATGGCGTGGTTCAGGACGAGCCCCTGTGGATCATCTTCGATCACGACATGGTCATCAATCTCGAGCAAGAGCTCGTGATGAACTCGTACAAGACCATAGACGGGAGGGGACAAAACGTCCAAATATCGAACGGCCCGTGCATAGCCATCCAAAATGTGAGCAACATCATCATACATAACATCTACATTCACGATTGCGTGCCTGCAGGGAATGCTCTAGTGAGGAACTCCCCAGAGCTCGTCGGAATGAGAGGCAAATCGGACGGCGACGGCATATCCATATTCGCATCCCGTGACTTATGGATCGACCATTGTACCTTGGCTAGCTGTAGCGATGGGCTGATAGATGCGGTTATCGGCTCGACGGCCATAACTATCTCAAACAATTACATGTTGCATCACAACGAAGTGATGCTAATGGGTCATAGCGATGACTACGTTGATGACAAAAACATGCAAGTCACTATTGCCTTCAATTTTTTCGGTGAAGGCCTGGTTCAAAGAATGCCAAGGTAAAAAGTTCAATAGTGCTGAGTTTTGTAATGCAGAGAAAGTCCCCGAGGGTAAACAACAAAACATCATTTTTGCTGGTTGTATGTATTTGCAGGTGTCGGCATGGATACTTTCACATAGTGAACAATGTGTACACTGGTTGGGAGATGTATGCAATCGGAGGAAGCGCTAATCCGACTATCAACAGCCAAGGAAATGTATTCATCGCAGCAGATAATGACCGCACCAAAGAGGTGAGTTAGAATCAAATTGCTGTAGGTTTTCAGACCAGGAATCTTTTTCCCGGTCATTGCTGGTATGAAGTATTCCTAGCTTCGAATTGACTTACATCATTAACGGCAGGCAAGATCTAGGCACAACGACGACAAAATAAATAAATTAAGTAAAACCCGGAAAAAGTACCTTAAAAAATTTAGTCCTGGCAGGCCAGATCTAGACGGAGAGCCAACTGCAGAACCTTGCCTAAATCTTGTTTATTAAACCCTGCCCTGCTTAATGGCCAAAAACTATGGCCTGGTGACATTGTCGAACCTCCCTGAGCCGCCTAGGTTATGATTAACTCTGTATCACAAGGACACTTATGGCTTCGACCTTGCTTAAATGTTCTTTTGGTTAGGTGACCAAGCGAGAAACTGCAGCTGAAAATTCAGAGTGGAAGAACTGGAATTGGAGATCAGACAGAGATCTGATGTTGAATGGTGCCTTCTTTACACCTTCCGGGCAAGATTCTGCTTCGAGTTACTTGAAGGCATCGAGCATGGTGGCGAGGCCAGCTGCTCTGCTTACTACTAAGGATCCGAGCGCCGGTGCTCTTAATTGTCAGATTGGTGAGCAATGCTGAAAATTTCCCGGAAGCAAAATATCTCGCTTCAATTGTCAACCTTATTGTTTAAAATTATGTGATGTATGTACTTGAATGGGAAATATCGCTGCTTTTGGACTTCCAAACGTTCTGATCTGCAATCAAGAATCAAGTTACACCAGAAGAACTTGCTAAAGCATCGACAACTAGGAGATACTTGGGTTCGACAGTGAATTTGAACCAAGGCCGTTTCCAAATCCGGGGTAACTTTTGCCAACAAGTGTAGCAAAACCCGCAACTTTTCCATCTACTTCTCTTCTATCTATCCAGTGACAGCTAACCTTTTTTAGGTTCATTCGGTAGTCATCACTACTTGAAAGTGTCTGGTAGACTGGTACCTTCATCAATCTTTTAGAGTTTGCACATTGCAAATTTGCAATAATGTCATGGACTGGTAGGATCCGTCGGGTACTCTCAGTAGACTGCACATTTTCTTTTTCGGGGAAAAATGTTAAAAATACAAAGTTGTAGGCAAAGCAATCTAAAGTCAAGTAAAAGGGTAGGTAACAACACGATCCGGTTCGGGACAATGAAGTGACCAAAGCCATCTCGCCCTTTTTTCATTCCCGTGCACGGGGCCACACCGCGAATGTGGAACAGTACAGCTTCAACAATCAGTGTCCCTTCCACATCTGGCCTTCAATGAGGCAACAATCAAACACCCGACCCTCTTTCGAAGTCGAGTTCAAACCCCCCGATGACATTCGACCTTCTTCCCAAAGAACCATGAACACTCGCCGGCATCGCTTGGCCATCAAAACACTCGTTTTAACAGAATATAACTCAAAGCCCTTACCAAAAAAAAAAAAAACTCAAAGAGGTAAGCGATCCGGTGCGTACTAAGAGAAGAAAATCTACAGGTAAAAACTCAGTTTCCTTCTACAAGTATGAAATACATTGATCGGTCTTCACAACACCTTGAGTTTTACAATAACTTTACACTCCCATAATCTGCCATGCCAGAAACTAGTTCAGCTTCCAAAACCTAAACTTCAAACCCTAAATCACTTTTCTACGTCTTCACCCTCCATCCAAAGACTGCGTCAACGTTCACCTCCCCACTATACACCATTGAACCACCCATCTGATCAACACCACCACTTCTTCACCACCGTCATCACCGTCATGAGACTACTGCCCGAATCCATTTCTTCCAAGCCAAGTCAATCACATGTCAAAGAACAGGGCAGATTCGACCCGAGCCCGCCCAATTCGACATATTTCGCGACTCTACCCGTCAAGCAATTCGAGCAGAGTGTAGTTTTTCGCCATCACCATCTTCCCAAAAAACTCTTTGAATATCCAGAACAATGAAGAATGTGGATCTCCAGCAGAAAGCACTTCAAAGAAGGTCATCCTAATGATTGAATTAATTGATTAGTAATCGCTTATTTAGTTCTATTTAAGCTAGCTCCAGGCCCAGCTCCACTAATCTGATGAAACCCACCATAGCCGTACACGTGTCCCTGGTGTTGACCGCGGCCCGCGGGCATCATCCCATACGCTCCGCCGCCGCCGCCGCCGCCGCCGCCGCCGCCGCTACTCTCACTGTCGTAGGCTCCGCCGTCCTTCTCCCGCGCCAACCCCGTCTTCTCGCCCTCCAACTCCCTGAACCTCTGCAGATACACCTTGAGCGGCTCCACGTACTCCTCGAACCCCAGCGTCGTCATCGCCCACAGCAGGTCGTCGCCGTTGATCGTCTTCCTCTTCTCCCGCTGGCACTTGTCCGACGCCTCCCCCGTCACGAAGCTTATGAACTCCGACACGCACTCCTGCACCGTCTCCTTCGCGTCCTTGGAGATCTTCGCGTTCGCCGGCAGCGCCTTCTTCATGATCCTGCTCACGTTCGCGATGGGGAGGAACCTGTCCTGCTCCCGCAGCGACGAGTATTCGCCCCCCGGCCCCCCGTTCCCTCCCGATCCATGGCCTCCTCCCCCCGGCGGCGGCGACTCGTTGTCCGAATCCACCATGGCGCCGATTCCCGATTCCACCGCCGGAAGGCCACCGAGAGAAGCGGCTGATTCGCAGAGACAACGCTTGCGCGAGCAATTAAGCCTTCGAACCGCTACAGGAACAGCATCATTCTTCGTCGAAATCGTCAGACGCCGAATGCCTCCACAGGACTCGAAGTAGATTCGATCGTGAGACGGCGAGCGCACGGCGAACTGCTCGGAACCCGAGGCCGATCGATGAGCCCGTCGGAGATGAACGCCGGAGAGATTCTCCGTCTCCGGCGAAAGGATGAGAGAGAGAGAGAGAGAGAGAGAGGGAGAGAGAGAGAGAGGAGAGAGGAGATCCGGAGGGGGGAGAGAGCGAGTTGGGTCCGTTGGATCGTGGCGCGTAATAAACGACTGCCGTTGGGACACGTGGAGAAACCTGGGCCGTTCCTCGGCGATAAGTGTTGTTCTCGGGAAGGGCGGAATCCGATTGGTTGGGAGGCGGGGCGATCTGGACCGTCCGAAATGGCATCCGTCACGTGGGCGGTCCGATGTGTGGGGGTGGCGGGCGGGGGTCGGTCCTTTCGTTTGGTCAATTTCTCCACTTAGTAATGGCAACTAAAAAAGTATCCTATGCAAATTGCGATAGAAATTAGGTGTAAAACCAAACGAGCCTCTCGGATTAATAGCGCCCTTGACCTAACTAGCTATGATTATGGTTTTGATCATTCAGACTAATGACAACGTTTGGCATTCCACTATCTAAAAAATTATTTCTTAGCCGTGACTCACGCGTCTTACATAAGCGTACAGATCGTTTGTGCTGAGCATAGTCATGCACGTCATGATATCCATCCCCGGTATCTTCGAGGAAGTTAAAAATATGAAATTTAATTAACAGGGTGTATCTCTTTTTTGAAAAAAAAAATTATAATTTTTAATGCAATGTCTTGTTGGTATCGTGTGCAATGTAGCCAAGAAATTCAAGCGAAAAAATTTATAGTTGTATCGAAGCGTGTGGGTGAGTCTACGGTCCTCGGGAGGAATTGTGCCTCTCGAGTTTTTTCATCGCCGGATCTAGAAATGAAAAAAAAATCGCAAACATCCAGGTTGAGACTTGTTGAACAGTCAAGATATATTACATTTTGATCCAATGATGAAAAATTATAAAGGCACGGTACCTCCTGAGAACTACAAAATCACCCATATATAAATATATTTATTTATTTAAATCAATGCACATCTTTTTTCATTTTGCCCTTATCTACAAATATTGTAATGCAATTTATTCTAAAGAGAAAAATGACGTAAAATGGGCTAAGGAATATTAAAGAGAAGAAAAAAGTCAAATCGTTAGAAGAAATAGGACAAAATGGTAAATGCAAAAAAAAAAAAATTGGTCTGTAAAAAAAATATCCATTTTTCGCTAAAAAGGTTCCTTCCGTGAAATTCATCAATTGTCCCCGCGGACGACCAAACCTCATTTTCTCTCATTTTCTTTGTCTGCATTTTATAGAAAAATTTTGATTTTGAGTTATACAAAAAAACAGCAATTGCTCATTTAATTTCTGCTTTTTAAAGAAAGAACTTGCCAACATACATGCAGCCCTGCTGATATAAGGATTCGGAAAGTGAGACCGAAGTACTAGATTCGTGATTCGATTCTCGTGAGAGCACCACACTTGTATACAGAAGAAGAGTGAGATAAAAAAAAAAAAAAGTGTCAAGTATAATGTTCTGTCATTCAACTAAAATTATTAGATAATTATCAATTCACAAGAACAAAAAATAATCGCAGATGCGAGTACATGAAAACCAATTCATTAGTTCAATGGCAGGTACGATATAATCCCCAATAGCAAGTGCAACATTCGATTAGTCGCAGTTTTGGCCGCATGACACATCTCACTTTTGTTCTTCATCGATTCACTTTTCCTGAGCCGATGTCGACAATGGTCTCCATGAAAAGAGAAGCAAAGTCACAGATCCATCTGCAACACTGAAGCTTCATTAGAGAGGTTGGATCACGTTCACATGTAACAAAGGGATTTGATTAGACTAAAACTGGCACTTCGCCGGAAGCTTTATGAACAATGATTTGAGAGTACCAACTGGAAAAATGCAACTGTAAGTGCAGACCATATGCCAAACCACATCAAGGAGCATGAATGATCAATCCAGCAATCAACAACACTCCCCAAGGAAGGAACAAACGGCGCTTCAGCACCTAAGGCTTCAGGGGCTCGCACCCAACCCGAACACTTCCTCAGGATCATCAAGCAACCAGGAAGACGCGATGCGACGCAGAAACGAGTTTTCTCAAGTTCCCATGGATCCGAATTTTAACATAAAACTAGTTGCAGCACTGCCGAGCAGCTGAGTAATCGATACATCTTAATTTGTAAGTTAGATTGCCAGCATGTACAAATCACTTTGCATGAAAGCTGGCTCTTTCACAACTACTAAACAGTCGGTACAAGGCGCACAATGCGGAAGACTAGGCACAAAAACTACAACTACCTACACTGTATTTTGCGGGTCAGGCTTTCACTTCCGGTGCATCTGCCACTGGTTCGTCTTTCTCAGCATCGCCTTCTCCATCTTCGTCATCGGCCTCATCGGCAAGCTTAGTGAGCTCTTCCTGGATCATCAGCTTTATAGATGACTTTCTCGGGGTGAGATCCGCGTCGAATTGCTCGGCTGAAAAGTTGCCAATAAATTCATTAAGCTGCCATGAAGACACTAATAGATGGATTTTCAGCCACGTGTCAAGATATTTTCTACATTTTAGGAGTACCTAGATGGTATGGTTTTCCTATGGTTCCCATGAAGAACCACCTCAATTGTTAGATTAGAGACTTTTCTTTACCGTCAATGACTCGTTTACATAAATTCAGAAACCCATGTACATCATTAATGGTGAGATTCTACCCAACTCTCCTCCTTTTAAAACCAAGGAAGTGTAGAAGTGCCCTTCCACGGTACCAAAGCTTCAAATAACAAGAAGCTATCATCCATCGATTTTAGATTCCAAAGATAAATTCTAACAGTACTTGGACCAGTCGCTGTAGAATCTGAGGGGTAACTAGGATAATAGCAATGCTCTCACTTAACAAAGTTCCAGTGCAAACTTCTGTGTTTCAGCAACTTAACACACTTTTTAATAGCAATGCTCTCACTTGCCGTATCTGGTATGATTTGTCCATGGACATGTAATCCAACCAATAACACACCTATACCCCATTTTTCATCCGTGGAGACATAATACGACTTGACAGTACAATCATACCCCAATTATTGATTATAACAACATAAATGCCAAGCCTGCTCCAAAGTATCACAAAACAGCATTTGGGCAAGTGTGACAGGTTTTAAAAATTCCTTTGTGAAAAAAGACCTATATCATTCAGCAGAGTCGAGAGGCTGGGTTATTGCTGCAGATAAAGGTTAAGGCTTACAGATTTAGCCACCACGATTAACAGAGGATATATTGGGAATGCAACAGATCAATAACTTGCAAATGACTTGCAAAATCAGCCAGCAAAATGATGAATTGAACATTCACGTATTTGATATCACATAAATGATTCAATTTGGAGAAATCATACCTAGCTGTTTCAGAATATCGGTGAAAGTGGCCTGCAGAATTGAAAACCCATCATAAGTTAGATGTTACAAGCTAATTTAACATATCAGTGTGGAATTTACTCGCCCAAAAAACAAAAATAATAGAGGCATGGATGGAGCAGTTAGGCTTCTTCAAGAGGCTATAATAAAAATGCAAAAGAACTTTAATGTGTGCAATTCACTTTCCAACCAACAACAACCAAAAAAAGAAAAAGCTTAGAATGGCTGATCCTTTTTGCCACTTAGACATCAATAATCATGCAAACATCTTGCAAGCAAACAGAATAAACTTTTTAGGTAATCTGAGAAATCAAGTTGCAGTCTGCACCAAGCAAAGGAAGAAATAAGCAATCTATCCAAAGATTAGAATCGCACCGTATTGAAGTCAACTTCCTTAAGAATTTCACAAATTGCATTTCGAAGCTCAACATCGCTAGGCTTGACAGTCCCTTCCTTTGATTTGTCCTTTCCTTTGGCAGCTTTTTTCCCTTCCACAATAGAACAAACTTCAGTAGGTTCCATTTAGAACAGTGCATTAAAATGCCGTTTCTTACCTTGTTGCACAAAATCTACTTCTAACTAACTGCCCAAAGTTTTTGTACCTTATACCACAAATTGTACTTCATATGTATACATATGTGAAAAATCATGTAATTAAGGGGATTCTTATCAATACAAATGGTACTTAAAACTAGGAACAAGCATGAAGAATTAATGACATTTCTTTAAATTTTGAGTTGTTCAGCTAGACTGATTGCTCCAAGACCTTTGGTCTCAACCTGGACCCGATGAAAATAGTGGGATCACTTCATGCACAAAAAAGTTCACTCAAGCTTCAGATTAGCCAACTAATTATTAAGCAGTGCATCCCCTCAATAACTATTGAAAAGGAGAGCAGACTGCATTGCATACCCAAAAGCACAGAATAACAGATGGAATGAAATGGAGTAATCAACTGACCAGTTTTCTCCTTGGAGGCAGACTTTGCAGGAGTTGAAGACTTCTTGGTTACTTTTTCATTCTTCTTCCTAGAGAATACCGTAGGACTACCGTCACTGTCATCATCAACTTTTGTGCGCTTTGATGATGATTTCTTTGTTGTTGCTTTGGGTGGTGGACTTGATTTGTTTGACACCGATCTTTTCCTTCTTTTGGCTTTTCCAACAGATTCCTTTTTACCGGATGATTTTGCACGGCCTTTTTTCTTCTTCCCTGTGTCTTCTTCAGACTCATCCTCAGAAACATCTTTTTCCTCACTTTCTGATTGGTCCGGCATCTCATCATCAGACTTTTCTGGAACACCATTTTCATTTTCTACTTCTTCTTCTTCTTCTTGTTCTAGTTCATCTTCTTGCTCTTCTTCCTTCTCCTCTTCCTTCTCTTCTTCCGAATCATCTTCTGTATCAGAAGCAGGCTTCTTTCTTTCCTTTTTCGAATTATCCTCAGTCTTTCTTCGACTCTGGAACAAATCCAACCCAAAAATAATGAAATAACAAAGCAGTGCCACATGATCAAAAGTTGAAGCACAAAAAGAATAATTTATAGGAAGTAGTAAACACTTCAGGTTGTCGGTTATTCGTGATGGGTCAGTCATTCAGCCGATGGTAAAGAAAAGAATGATACCTTGACCGTCCGCTTCGAGGAACTCCTAGGTGCAGATGAAGGCCCTTTCACCGCCCTCTTGCGCTTTTGGCCCTTACCAGACTGCCACATGTAGAGAAGATCAAAACATGAAAAGATGCAATTGTAAGGAAACCAATCGCAATATCAAATGACTTTCCCAAATACAATTTCAGATAGCCAACCTCTTTTTCAGCAAGTAGCACAGTTGTTGTGGCATGGGGAGCCACCAAGAAGTCAATCAGCTTCGTGACAATATCTTCCTGGAAGTGCAGACCAACTAATCAGTACAAACGACAGTTGGCATTGTAAACAAAGAATATGCTATCTCCATATGACACAAACAAGTCTAACTCGTTGGCCCTACTACACAGCCAACAAAGATCATATGAAATGATCACTCTCAAGACTGCACCTTCACCATGACTTACAGACAATTTAAGGGACCAGAAGGAAAAAGAGCCAAGCATTCCCAAAGAAAATCGTGTTAAAAGATACATATCAGATTACCAAAAATAATATTGCACCAACCTTCCTAGTGGATGTCTTCGAGACTGGTATGTCAAGCACATCACACAATTCGAGCAATTTCTCTTTAGTACACTTGTCAAATTTTTCCTTCACCTTATTCCTCTGCTTCTCCTGTAGTAGCAACATAGTTAAAAATGAAGCTCGTACACAAGCATTCAGTACCCCAAACCTCAGCGATTTTCAGAAATTAGTTTGCCACATTAGAATCACCTCCATCTCCAAACACCCCAACCTCCCACCCCCAAAATATATATATAAAAAAGAAAAAAAGAAAAAGAAAAGAAAAGCAATGCTATAGACATATATTTACCTCATTATCATGCCATACAAAACCAGAAAACCTTGATATATTACCCTTGATCTGGAATGCCTGCAAAAGTACAGGAGGAAGGTTTATCGAACAGTGAGTACAATAACGTGTTCATGCTCAAGAATTTCAAAAACCGACACTCAAAGAGGGGCAAATCATGGCTGGCACATTGAGAGATAAGAATTAATCTTACCTTCCCTCTCCTTCCAAACAGGATGTTATGCAGCAGCTTAAAGGTGTCATCCGTCTTCCTTCTTGACAATTTGAAAGCCACTGACAAAATGTAGACAGAGTTGTTTAGTACACCTTATCATTCTGCATGGACAAATTCCATAACATGCAGAACCAAGAAAACATGTCAATCAAAGTTATGTGCATTTCCAGGTTTCAGACATTCTAAATCTCAACTAAATTCTTTAATAGACCCTAAGTAATTTAACACTTTATTTTTCATGTACACCAACCAAAAAAAGATGGATGTTTTCCAGGAACTACGGAAACGGTTTCAAGAATTCAGTGAGCTAGAAGAAATATGAGAGTACCGTTGGGTATGTCCTTCAATGGTGTTCCACGGCCCTGTAATTCCAAGATAATATGATCAAATGAAAATCCTACACGCGCAAATCCAACAAAAGCAGCAAATATGCAGGGTGTGATTTAGTTTTATGCACCTTTTCTATCTGGAAATCTTTAGTGGCGTCTCTCTCAATAGATGCCACCAACCGCTCTACAGACTTCCTCTCTCGTACAGGACGATCTACAGTAGGAGTCCTAGGGGTCCTGTTAAGCTCCTTCTTCTCCTTTTGTTTCTTATTTCCTTCAACTTTCCCCCCAGCATTCTTCTGCCTCCTCCGCCTTTTTGTCCCTTTCTCCTCTTTACTTTGTTCAGCCTTCTCTGTCTCAGTCTGCTCCTCCATACTCTTGGTCTTCTCCTTTTCCTTCTCCTCACTCTCCTCGACCTTCTTTTCATCATTCTTTTCCTCTTCATCCTCTTCTTCCTTCTCTTCTCCAAGCTTCTCCTCTTTAACTTCTTCATCCTTTCCTTCCCCATTTTTTACCCCATCACTATCCCCTTTATCCCCCTCCTCATAATTCTCTTCATCTTCCTTCATTTCCTCAGGTAGCTTTTCCTTTTTTCCAGCAGGAGCTTCTTCTTCCATCTCTTCAGTTTTAGGTTTTTCCTCTTCTTTTTGTTCTTTCTTATCATGGCCTACCTTTAAATCACAGCCTATATCCATTTCCTCAGTTTCCACTTTCTCTTCATCTTTATCATCTTCCTTTTCCTTCACTCCATTTCTTTCCTCAGTTTTCCTTTCACTCACTACATTGCTGTCGTGAGGTACAGTTCCGTTTTCTGCAGGTGCTAGTACTGCTTCTGATTCAGAAGCAGCATTTGCCAAACCTTCCTCGCCCATAATTCACTTGATAGGAGTTGAATTATTCAATTAAAATTAACTTCTTCACGACCTAACAAGAATATGATGAATCAGTTCATAAGAAACAATTTTGACCAAAACCAGATTTACAAGAAATGAAAACATCTTAACAATTCCATACACATCATCATGGACTATACTGAGAGTGAAATGTGAATTCAACACGTGGAAAAACATTGCTCAGTGATCAAAGGAAAAGGTCTGTGCACATAAACAAATCCTTCAGCTATCTGACCTCAAAAATTAGCTTTAAAGGTGACTTCTCTGAAGATTCACCTTAAGCGGTTTCAAAGCCAGACATATACCCCAAGGCCAACCCCAAGAATAGTCTACCTATGGGGTGTGGGCCCGAGTAAAATCACCAGTAGACTTCCAAGAAGCATCTATTGGCCAGAGTCAAATCACAAGTACAATTTGGAAATGATCCTGATGATAAACCATTGCCCACAAGGTGAAAACACCTGAGGAAAGGCTACCTACACATCCAATTAAATGGAGTGGTGTTACTTCAGAAGCGAGACTGACGATAGTGTTGCTAGAGTACAGCCAACCCAAGATCTGTAGATGCTGAACGAACATATGAAACTAATTACAACTGATAACTCTATACATTTGCAAACGTTTGTGCTATCACCAAGACAATGGTGATGCTTAAGTTCCATTCCAAACCAAGATAACCCTAAAAAACACCTTCGATAATACAAAAGTCCAAGAAATGACCAATCTTGTCCCAACAACCGCCATTCTCTATACAAATTGTGGTAAACACTAAGAAAAAATCAACAGGAAAAACCTATCTCCGCTCCCCGAGGAGGAAAAAGAAAAGCGTTCAAACACTCCAAACCGAAAGCAACACGAGAAAACAGGAAAATGAAGACGGAATTTCACCCCCCCCCCCCCCGAAACCCTAGCCCCGAAACGAAGAGCAGAAAAACTCGTTTTCTCTCTCTCTCCATCATTTGCATCCTCGACCCGCAAAACACGCGAGAAAGAGATTAAACAGCGAAATTCCCAACAGGAGCGGGTCCAGTTCCAAGAGATTCCCAAAACCCTAGCCACGCGAGACCGTCCGAGGGTACCAAAACACCAAACGATTCGCGAAAGCCCGACCGAGCGCAAGCACGAGGAGGAACAAGCAAGACGAGAAGCCGACGAGCACTTACAGAGAGAATTTCAGCTCCGCGAGCTTTAGCTTGGCCGAAGAGCTTCCACGGAGAGACGAGAGGAGGAAGATGACGACGACGAAGACGAAGAAGGCGTGCTCTTCAGCTCGAGCGTCATGCTCTCTCTCTCTCTCTCTCTCTCTCTCTTCAGTTTTTTTCTCTCTCCCGACCGGTGTGTGCGAGTGTGAAGGTGGGGGGGAGTGAAATGGGACGGATTTCAGAGGGAGTTTAAATGCAGTTGAATGTGGGCGATCTTGATGGACGCACGAGATCTGCTGGTGGTGAGGATCGCTGAAATTCGGACGGTCCGGATGCGATGTTCGTTTCGAGGTGCCGGTACGTGGGGCGGGGGGGGGAGAACGAGCATCTGGGGAAAATTTAAACGACGGAGCGGAAGGGATGGAACCAAAAAAAAAAAAAAAAACCAGGCCATAAAATAATTAAAAAATGACTTTTCTGTTTTTATTTTGCTAGCGAAAAATAAAAAAATTAATGAAAATTGCTCGTATTAACTTTGCATGGCATGGCAAGGAGAGAGAAAACCAGCGTCGATGCCTAATCTAGCGATGCCGGCTCGTATTTCACAAATACGACGTCTCAAGTTTGAATCCACTCTCAAGAATAGCGTTGCTTTGGATGTAAGTATGTATTATTATTAAGTTACATGTTATATGTATAACTGTTGGCCCAATTCCTGACAAGTCGAGATTTTACGGAAAATGTAAGTTTATTATGGTATTAAAGCACGTATCAAAGGTTTAAATCTCGACACACCTCTCGTTTTTCCCTTTCTGTTATTTTGGATGTTTTCTTACTGCAAGTCATCTTGTTGATGTGATTGCATCAAGATCTTACCTTGCCCGTCCTTAAAAAATAGGGTTAATATCATGAAAAATTAAAAATTAATACATATGTGATAAATTTACCCCAAATTAATTTTTTGATCATCAAAAATCCCAAACTGGTACACCTATAATAAATTTTACCAAAACTAATTTTTTGACCATTGAAAACCCCAAAACTGGCATATTTATGACAAATTTACCCTCCATTAAATTGAATTAATACAAAAAAATCACAAACTAGTACACCTGGAACAAACGGAGTGTAAAACCCCAAAATGGTACATTCATCAACTGCCATGTGTCATTTCACTAAATAATTTGACAGTAAAATTTAACGGAAACTAACGGAAGGTAAATTTGTCATAGGTGTACTAGTTTGGGGTAAATTTATCACATGTGTATCAGTTTAGAGTATTTCGTGGTAATAACCTAAGAAATAAATAAAATTGCTTGTAATAACTTTGGTTACGTGTGCATGGTAAGGACAGAGAAAACCAGCATCTAACACCTAATCTCCTTATGCCGACCTGTATTTCACAAATAGAAAGTCTAAAAGCATATCACGGGATATCACGTCCTTCCATGGAAGTTGGAGTTGCAGTGGAAGGTGGAGTGACTTTGAATCCGCTTGCAGCAATGGTGTTTCTCTGTATGCTACTACTATGTAATAAGTTATACGTTATATGTATAACCGTCAGCCCGATTCCTAACAAGTTGAGCTTTTCGGGAAAGTGTAAGTTTATCATGGTATTAAAGCAAAAGTATAATTCCCTTTTCGCTATATTGGATGTTTTCCCATTATAAGTCATCTTGTTGATATGATTGCGTCAACGTCCAACCTCGCCTCGTCTTTACACGCGAGGAGAAGTGTCAAGTAATATGCCATATATATAATTGTGGGACTCATTTCTTGACGACTTAAATATGTGAAATAATAACCTCCAACATTATCAAGGTGTTGTGAATATCGAGAACCTCGATGTACCCGTTGTGCCAAGGATCACATCCCTCGTCATGGTGACGAGTTCTCACTACTGAATGATGTTCTTTTTTGCCAGGTAAAAAGCCATAAAAAAATCCTAAATTATGCTCGCCGTGGTATATTTACCTTGAGCTTTTCTTTTGTGACATCAACGACCCCAAACTATGCTATTGCGACATATTTACCTTAAACTTTTTCTTATGACATAAAAAATCCTAAACTATACATGTATGACATATCTACCCTCCGTCAAGGTTCCGTAAGATGAATTTTCAGTCAAAACAACATCGTTTTTATTTTACTTAAGCCACGTTGGTGACCTATCAACATTGTTTGCTTTATAGCATCCATGTAGACAGATTTCTAATGGTTCTTATTGACAGAACTTTGATATGAGGTAAATGTGTCACACAGGTGTCACAAATTTTTTTTTTTATGATGAATGTGTTACAATGGCCATAAATTAGGGATTTTGGTGACTTTTGCCCTTTTCGTAATTTTAAAATCGTATTTTTTTATTATGGAGGTAGTATTCTCAAGATAAAGCTTAATCATGTTGGTATGTCCTCCCTCGTTTTTAAGTAAGAAAATAATGCGTTTTAGCCACAGAAAAAACAGTGAGAATAATACAATGAGTCGGAGAAGTTTGGGAAAAAAATTGAATAGTCAAGGCTCCATTTATTTCGCGGAAAATAAATAATTTGGAAATTATTTTTCTAAAAATGATTGATTGTGTTGCATACTAAAATAAATAAACAAAAAATATTTTCATTGTCCATGAAGATATTTAGAGATAAATTGTTATTGACGATAAAAATATTTTCATATTGGCTAATTATTTCAAGATATACAAACGATCATTTGTAAGAAAATATTTTCCAAATCCTTCATTTTTTGCGAAATAAACGGAACCAATATTTTGAGAAAAAATAATTACCTCCAAATTTTTTAATGTAAAGGAAACATACCATAGAAAACCTATTCATCTTACTTTTTACATAACCAATTTAATCCTAGCATCCTCATAAGACCATCATGCATAAGTCGCTAGGAAATACAGCAAAGGATAACATTATATTAAATAAAAAGTTTCTCTCAAATTCTCGTGTTTCTTTCATTGTTCATTGTTCAAAAGAACGACGGATATAAGGACATATAGTACATGCACAAACCATCCTGTGAAGTTGTTTGTATGGACCTATGCCAAAAGTTTAAGGGCATGTATAGATTGACTTTTTATTATTACCTTTTACCTTATTAAAATATTGATACTCACGCACTTTGATTTATTTTAATTGAGACTCCTGAATTTTTTTTCAACATACAAATATTTTTTTTTTGTTCACCTAACATACAAATATAGACAAGTAGATTTACTTATATTTTTTCCAATGATTTATATAAGTCAAATAATATTTAACCATTGACAAAAAATAAAGAAATTTTTTTTTATTTTTGTTTAAAGTCAAACAAACAGGCCTTAAATGTGGGAGCCTAGGTAATTGGTCTATGCCCACCAATTGCGAGCTTCCGATCACATTCCATTGGATCATAAGCATTTTATAAGAAAATGACATAAATAGTCCTTAAACCTCGGTCAAATGTGTAATGTCATCTTTAAACTTTTAATTCGTTCAATATAATCCTTGAACTATATCTAAATATTTAATCTAGTCCCTAAACTTTCGATTTGTTTAATCTAATCACTTAATTTCTCATAACAAAGTCAAATCAGTCCTTGATACTATTCACAAGTTTTTACAATCACACCACTGCCCGGATTTTAGGATATCTTTTCATTTCAATCCATTTCCTTAATCAACAAAAAATATGCTATCTTTGTATTGCCTTTTTGACCTTTTTGGTTTTTGTGAATATTACTAGAGTTATATTGAATTTATATTCCTTTTATTTTAAGACATCTAATACAATGTAATTTATCAATAAATTTTTTGAACTTATGTTAATCTAAATTTTTATTCCTAATTTATTAAATAGATAAAATTTTCAAGTTTCAATTTCATGTTTTCATAAATAATTTTAGTTATATCTGTAAATTTGAAAATTAAATTAGCAAGTGTCAAACAAATACAACTCCAAATAAGCTTCTACTTTTACGATTAGAGAGAAGATCATGAATTAAAATATACTTAAGTACATACAAACACTACAAGGTTAAAAAAGTAATAAATAGATAGCCATATTTGTTGATTTAAAAAAAGGATTGAAATGAAAGGATATTAAAAAATCTGGGCAATAGTGTAATTACGAATTATTTTTTTATTTTTTTATGAAAGTTGAGGAACTAATTTAAATTAATTGAAAGTTTAGGACTAGATTGAGTATTTAGGAATATTTAAGGATCACATTTAACGAATTTTAATTTTAAGGATAACATTGCATATTTAACCAAAGTTAAAGGAATATTAGTGTCATTTTCTCTATTTCAAGTGAAAAAACACGAGCAACTCCGTGTAAGAGTTTTAGAATCAACTCTCAACTCAATTTTTCTATTGACGAGATTTAATTACAACACTGGTCACATTATTTTCAATTTAATCATTGAACTTCGAATTTGTTCAATCAAATGCTTAAGCATGTGAAAATTTTTCAGTCTTTCTTCACTGCCAATTCCAGCAACATTCAATCCCCAGTCATCGGTACCAACAAAAAGCGTTATGTTGAAATAATTAGTGCCATTGTGCAGTGAAAATATGTTTAAAATGCAATTAACAATAACTATTATTTTCAACTCATGAAAATAGTTTTCAATGATCAAAGTAGTTTCCCATCATCAAAATATGAAAAGTTTAAAAACAATTTTAAAAAATTGGTTTTTATATTAAAAAAAAAAGTGACCCTCAATACTCTCTTTATTCTTTTATCCAAAAGTACCTTTTTATTATTTTATTCAAACACAACATGGAGAGATCCTGCGAATAGAGATGACAAATGGTTGAATCCACCACCTCCGCCTTGCTATAAGTGAGGAGATGCCATATCCACACAGCCCTCGTGGCACAAATTTACCAGCCCATTTTTTGGCATTCCAATTAGGCGTCTCATCTTATAATTAACTTACGAGTTTAAGAAATTTATTGAAACTTGGTGTGGTGTGATTTTTCCAATCATAAAAAAAGAGTGAGAAAAGGTAATTGTCAAATAGTAGTTTCATAAGAAACACAATAATATATATGTTGCTTAAAACTTGTAAAACTAAACTCAATATCTGATAGGTTATGGTGCGGAACAATGTGAGGGAGTGGTCCATAGAGGTCACACGATTGTGGATTGGAGTGGGAGAACAGTGTTGCTATAGTACAGCCAGC